TTATGAGTTTCTGGTTCCACAAATAATGGACAAGACTTCATCTTTCAAGGACGTCTAGGGAAATGATAAGAATCCTTTAATTCTAACGTCAAAAGCAGTTGAAACTATTAAAACCTGACAATAATTACACACTCGCTCAGCCTCAATCTTCATGCTATGCTTCTACAATGACAACATTAAACATTTTCTTAGGAGTTTAGTTAATCTATTCATAATACTTTATACTTCACCTGAGGCTTGACGGCAAAATTCCCAACGTGCGATAATAGTGGTTCTACAGTTCGGAATTTCCTTCGCTCTAACGCTTAACCGGCGAGGAAAAGTAAATTTAGTTGAATTTAAAGGTACGTTTTAGTGGCTTACCCTGTCCTACTTACCTTTTTCGTCTAGATGTTGATATCTTTCTTTACAACAACAGCTTCATGCAAGACTGCAGCTGTACTTTGTTTTCACTTGATGAAGTCGAATATGTAAAACATGTTATCCCTACATTAAAACAAGGCAGATGTTCTTTATAGGGTTCGTCACGCGTTTTTGCCCCACAACCCAAGCGGAGACACGTGTTTATTTAGTCGTTTTGATGAATTATTGGGCTGCGTAGTAGGCCCAGTTCGGACGGGCTGAATAAAGTCTGCGCTTGTGCAGAGACGGGAGAGGTCTGGGATCTAAATTAGTATCGTTTGCAAAAAGATTTTCTAAACATCCTTACATTTTGCCGATTTTTAAGATGGTTTTCCAAATATTTAAGGTTCCCATTTAAAGTGAAAGTAGATTATTTTATACTTCATTCAATTCTCTTTTCTAGTTTTGTAATTTTCCTTATATTTTTTGCTATGAGCCGAAAGAAGATGCACGTACGAAGCAGAACGGATTCCGATTCGAATGTTTATAAATTTATGTTCAAGCGTAAACAGAAGTGACACACACTTACACACACTTTATTACTATTAACAATCTACGTTTATTTACATAAAGTCCATTTCCGCCCGCAAATAGCAGATGCTAGTCGAGGCCGGGCGGAGATAATAGGTACAGTAGTCAGTAATAAATTAAATAAATAGATGAATAAATAAATAACTAACTATATTTAGTATATACTAAAACAAGGGATTGTGTTTTTCGCGCGCTCTGATTGGCTACTCGATCAGTGAATATCCTTACTTGCGTAAGCTGTCAATGGTATTCAATGGTTAATGAAATGTGGGCAGAACGGAGAACCACAGGGATCCATGTTGGGTCCTATGTTGTATTCGCTCAACATAAGTCCACTGGTTGATATTGCCAGAAAGCATTGCATACCATTCCATCTGTACGCAGATGATACACAGCTGTGTCTGTCGTTTACGTCTAACTGTCCTACTCATTTATCTAGCTCGAAAACGAAAGTTGAACTATGTGTTAAATATAATGGAGAGTGAATGCTGGCCCAATAAACTTAAGCTAAATCAAGATATCAAAATAGGACTGAACTTTTAGTTATCAGTTCAAGATTTCGTCCACGACCTCCCCTCGACCACATCCCAATCGGAAACGATGTCATAAGTCCGAGTGAACATGCAAGGAATCTAGGGGTTCAATTCGATCAGCATTTTGATTTTAGTGAGCACGTTAAGATGACCTGCAATACGGCGTTTTTCCGCATTCACTGTATAGTCAAAATTGGGCGATATTCATCCCAAGACACTGCCAAGACCACCGTTCACGCCTACATAATCTCGCTATTAGATGACCGTATTTGTTCAGCATTCTGCCCTCGTCTTTTTACCCGTCAAGAAAGTATGAGCTTGCACCGATACTCAGCCGTTTACAATGGTCCCCTCTCCGCTTCAGAATTATTTTTAAAATGTTAGTTGCTATCGACTTACTGAATGCAGAATCCACGATGTGGAATCCGGAATCCAAGGCTGTACGTTTGGATTCCCTTAGATCGGGTAAAAACGCTGGAGGGCTTCTATTCACGCATGAGAACGGTGATTTCGACTCGATTTCTGTGACGAAGCGAAGATGCGCCTCGCCGATCTCTAAAGAGGAGAGTCACATATTGGATAGGTGTTCACACTGAACCTGATATCTTTTGTCTCGGCGCCAAAAGCTGTCCAATATAGTGTGATCAAAGTCTTGATCTCTGCCGAGGTAGAACTCTGGTTTATATGAGTTATAAATGGCCATTGTCGTTTCTGATTATTTTAGGCAAACTGTGTTTTAAATTACAACCGACAAGTTTTTAGCATGAAGTTCCTTGGATAGATATTTCTACATAAAGTTTTCTTTAAAAAAATTACACTTTATCGTCTGGTAGCTCAAAATCTGCAATTCTGTTCTTTGAGTCGCGCCCCCCCCCCCCCCCAAAAAAAAAAAATTCAAAGGTACATTACGTTCCTCAGCTGTGAGATTTACTTTAAACTTACCGCCAAAACGTATCCAGTCCGATTTATATACAGCAAGAAGACCATAGCCGTTCATCTGCCAAAAGCCCTGATGATCAATATAAGTACTGTGGTAGTTTAGACGTCCCACTGCGGGAAAGAAAGCGATTATTCTTTCTATGGTGTTCTGTTCAAGGCAAATGTAAATTTGAACTTGTTACTAAAACGAAACAAGAGTAAAGATGGTGTAGTTGGAAGCAATTTAGTATAGCCTATTTGACCCAACAGAAATAGCAATAGCATTTTACTCTAAAACGTAACAGAAAGTCGACTTTAAACCTTTGATGAAATGAAGGCAAAAACGCTATTGATGTGAATCGATTAGTATTTGTATTAATAAATGTTTAGAGGATTTTTGACATTTTTAGAGGAATAATAAGTTACCCGTTAAAGAACACAGTGTGTCCTGCTACTATAACTCGTACAGAGCGTTTGCACTCACGTGGCTAGCAGCTATGCAAATGGCCGCCGTTATATTGTTCTGGGACAACAACATGGTGGACGTGACGTGGCCTTATCAACCCACCTTTCGCACGCTGTCCAGAATGTCAACAGGCACATCAATATAAAGATCAAACAAGAAAAACAGATCATGCGCACTTGGTACTTGCTCTACAGCTTTGTTCAGTGCCAGCGTCTTGTAAAATTTACCGGTCAAGTTGATAATAGTGTGCCTGCCTCTCAGAAGGGCAGTGTCGAACGCTTTGGCCAAGTCGATATCTTGGCTTTCAAAGTCAGCAACAATAACGTGGAAGTTCTTATCACCCGTTAATAAGCTGGCATCTTCCCTGATCTTTGACAGAGACTATTATGTATACGGTGGCGTTTCCGTTCCACTCAATTCCCTCGGGAAAACACAAACTGTTCGTTCCCTTTTTTTTGATACACGTGCTCCGATCGGAGAAGCGATATGATTTTTCAGTGTAAGGCAGGCCAAGTTGCAGATCAACTGAATATCGGTCCCATAAACCGGATCTGATTTTTGTAGAATTTTTGTGAATTCTCTTCAAAATGTACTTCCTGAAAGAAAAAGATAAGTTAAAAAAACGCTAGAAGAATTTATAAACATAGATATCATCAATCGAGCGTCGATGTAAGAATTATTGTTACTTCAGCGGAGAATACTTGTGAAGGAAAATATACTATGGCCTGGTATTACGACAAGCATTATGATAGATACAAAAAAGGCAACCGTTGCAATGAACGAAGTGTCAGGGGATTGGAAAAATTGGGTACGAGATTATCGTCGCAGAACGGAGTGAAGACGACTTCTGGTGCTCAATTTGCCGCTCTACCACCGGTTGATAAGGATTTTGAACTGCACGGGCTGATAGCTATTGTCGTCGCGTTATTTTCGTACCCAGATCTCTCGTCAACAAGAGATCTGAGTACGAGATTATTATAGCGTTGAATTTGCTTCATCTGTCTTCTGTCATGCGACAACGTCCAGCCATGAAAAGACCTAGTGCACACATACAAGGGCAATGAGTAAACATTTTCTTTCATTTTCTTCGTGCCTTTTAGCTACGCTGTCAGTTTAAAATGTTGGACTGAAAGCTTTTTCCTATCTCTTTTCATGCGTAGCGTGCTGGAGTTCCCCCATCAGTGTTAGCAGCCTGGTTTTTGTAGGAATACCGGCTAGTACCTTGAAAATGAAGCGTCTCCACCGAAAAAAATTAATTTAAGCCGCAGCGATAGACTTTGATTGATTAAAACAATATTAATTTTTTGCGCTGAAGAACACGTACCAACTCCGCGGTCTCATGTGCTGGGCGGTGGCTCGGGACATTTTGGGTAGTCTGACACCAAGTAGTAGGCGCTTATTTTGGGGGAGAGCGCTTTTTTGCGGCTGGGTACCCTGTTTTCTTGTTTCCCGTCCTTTTAGATCACGTGATGAGTTTTCTTCTTGCACGAAGTCACTCGATATATCATATTGGAGCGATTCACACGAAGTAAGGACATTTTAACGCTTGACAACGGATATATATCCTTTTTTGTACGAATTGGTTGGTGTTGTCCGAACTATATATATCCTTGTTTGTACGGATTGGTTTGTTTTGCCCAAATAAAGTGTTAACGCCAGTTTACGAGTGGAGTTACTTCGTTTTGCTGTTGGACTGTTGGTTGAATCGAGTCTTGTCAGTCTTATTGTAGTCTTCGATTTGCGGAGTTTGCCAACGAAGTGAGCATCTCACCGTTAGCAAATTGTCTGAGATATTTTCCGTCTATGAAGAATTTTGTTGTGTTGATACATGAAACCGTGCATGTTGTTGAGTCAGTGTGCGATTCGGCGAATGTTGACATCGAAAGCGATGGAACGACTACTGCCGGCGAAACGGCGACTATTTCGGAGACTGATTTTTCGCCTTGTAATCCACAAGCAAATTCTACAGTCCTAGATACCTTTCCAATAGAGTCGGGCTACGTGACAAAGGGGGGCGAAGCGACGAATTTACCTTTGAACGATGAAGTTGACTTTCTTGGGAAACTGTAGAATGGACAAGGACTCGGAAGTACGGACACATCTATGAGCGTTTGCCAGGTCACCTTCAAGGAAAGTGGAGAAAGACTGCGATGTTGTATTGCGAGAGGTCGGGTGGAAGAGAGCCGGACTTTAAGGAGCTATCCAAGTTTATTACTGCACAGTCGCAAATTGAGAACGACCCGGTGTATGGCAGAAACAGTGAACAACAAACAAAGTTCAGTGTTGGCAGGAACCCCAATCAAAAAGCACTTGAAGAAAGGGCTGGTCCGACGATCCCCACTCTAGCAACAGAGGTCCGGACACGAGAAAACGGAGTTAATCAGAGAACAAAGTAACTTCTAGTAAGCAAGGAAGTAATGGAGGCAACCGCAATCAAGGTCTGCAAGGGACCCCGTGCTATCTCAAAGTGTTCGGTGTTCCTTTCTAAGGGCTTAGGTTGGCGGAGACGATTTGCAAGGTTTAGGTCTCTTTGCTACCGATGTCTGTCTCACACTCATTTGCAAAGGAACTACCCTGAAAATACCAGTTGTACTGAGAAAGACTGTGCTCGTCCACAAGATCACCACTCGCTGTTGCATATTTCGACGAAAAATGAGATTGAGGATGTTGAAGGCAATCCTGAGCAGAGTTCCCCGGAAGTGAACAATTTGTCAGTGAACAATGCAACGACAGAATATAACAGTAGGAGCTTTGTATTGCTCAAAGTCGTTCCACTTAGAGTGACTGCTGAAAATGGGAGACCACTTACTACGTATGCTATGTTAGACTCAGCTGCTTTTAGCTTAATGATCACTTCTAACATTGTAGACAAACTGCAACTTCAAGGAGTTCCAGAGAAAGTTAGCATAAACACTGTCACTCAAAGAGACCAAAATCTTGAATTATGCAAGGTAAAATTCCAGATCAGCTCAGCGACCCAAGGCAGTCCGTCCTTCCCAGTGTATCACGCCTTCACAGTGAAAATTTTAAATGTGTCGGACCGCTACTGCCCAAGTCAACTGGATTTGTCTCCCTGGCCACACCTCAGTGGTCTTCAGTTGCCAAATACTGCTGTCGATGCGAATGAAGTCTCTGTGTTAACTGGTCAACACATACCACAAGTTCATTTGATTCTTGATTATTGCTGGGGAGACAGTCCACAGAGTCAGCCATACGGAATGAAGACCCCCTTTGGATGGTGCGTAGCCGGACCAACCAACGGAAAGGAGGATGAAAACAAGCCTGTTTTGCTATCAGTCTTCGAATTTGATTGGGCTGAAGACAAGCGAGACATGAAACTGCACGAACAAGTTGAAAGGTTCTGGGCTTTAGAATCACTTGGATTCAGGAGTGATGGCACTTCGAACAGTCTTGAAGACGAAAGAGCCCTTGAAATCCTAAAGACGGAACAACTAAGCTGAAGGGTGGAAGGTATGACGTTGATCTTTTGTGGAGAAACGATAACCCTGAGCTGCCTAACAACCGCGTGCAAGCTGAGAAGCGACTGCAGCAACTTAAACGGCGTTTCCAACGTAGCCCTAAGTTTGCCGCCCATTACAAGACAGTCATGAATGACTACATAGACAAGGGTTATGCAGTGAAATTGTCGGAAGAAGAAGCGGCTCGTACGAGCATCCACCCTTGGTACCTTCCCCACCATGGAGTGATCAACCCAAACAAGTCTAAAGTAAGGGTGGTGTATGATGCAGCTGCGAGATTTGAAGGGACCGCACTTAATAAGGAACTGCTACAAGGACAGCTGCTTAACAACACATTAGTAGCAGTATTCATGCGGTTTAGAAAGGATGAAGTAGCAGTAGCTTCTGATGCATAGAAAGTATGTTTCATGGAGTGGCTCGCAGAGAGGAAGACACGGACGCACTCCGATTCTTGTGGTGGGATGGTAGTTTAGACGGACCACCTAGTGACTATAAGATGACCGTACATTTGTTCGGGAAGGCAGATTCGCCATGCATTGCTGCTTGGGCATTACAGCAGACTGCTGCAGACAACGAGGCTGCCTTGGGAGAAGAAATTCGTGAAATTGTCATGAAAAATTTCTATGTAGATGATAGTTTGTTCTCGAAGCCGTCGACAGAACAGGCAGTGCATTCATCATTGGAACTGATGGGAATGTTACGCAAAGGGAATTTTCGCCCGACTAAATTCATTTCAAATGACAAAGATGTATTGGCTGCCATCCCAGCCAAGGAAAGAACAATCAAGAATCTTGACCTCGATAAACTTCCTATAGAGAGAGCCCTCAGACAACAATGGAACATTGATACCGATACGTTTGTTGTCAAGACATCGCCGCCATCAGGTCGACCCGGGAATGACACACGGCAAAGGTGTTTGTCTACATTGAGCTCGATCTTTGATCCTCTTGGTATGATTGGATCAGTCCAGTTGCCGGCAAAAAGAGTCTTACAGAAGACTTGGTAGCTAAAGCTCCTTTGGGATGAGAAGTTGCCTGAAGACTTGACGAAGGACTGGAATAAGTGGAAGGAGAACTTGACACTGCTCCCATCGTGTGACTATTCCGCGTTGCTATTTTCCTGGTGGCTGTTCGCTCGATACTACCTTAGAACTGCATCACTTCAGCGATGCGTCAGAGGTTGGATATGGAACTGTCTCGTACTTGAGAAGAGAAACTGTAGAAGGAAGAGTTGATTGCTCCTTTATCATGGCCAAGAGTCGTACCGCCCCTCTACAGTTCGTGTCTGTGCCAAGACTTTTCCTACTACAGTTTCTCTTCTCAAGTACGAGGCAGTACCATATCCAACCTCTGGTTCACTCACGCGTACAGTCCCAGTCCATATACTTATCTTGTAAAAGCTGAACTTAACGAAGTGATCGCTGATGACATCATCACCCCCAACCGACTGACTGCATCAATTCTATTGTGTGCAAGATCAAAGAAACCCCTGATGGAGAGTAGAAAGTAAGGCTGTGTCTCGATCCAAGGGATCTAAACAATAACTTACATCGAGAATACTACCGGGACATATACCAGGACCATCAATGAAGCTACCTCTGCTCCGTGGGAAGAAGAACTTCTCCGTTGTAGATGCAAAGAAAGGGTACTGGCACGTGGAATTAGATTACCCATCCAGCCTACCGTGCATCTTTATACCCCTGCCGGGAGGTACCGAATCATGAGATTACCCTTGGGAGTTGTCGTTTCCCCGGATGTCCTCCAACGCAAACTCGAGGTATCAGTTAAGAAAGACAGTTTGCTAGTTTATGCACTTAAATTTTTTCGGAATTCTGGCGGCTCGGTGTGGTAGTGTAAAGATACGAACGAGAGATTAGGTTACGAAAGGTGCGGGTTTGACACTGGATTGCGATCTTCTTTCTTTCTAATAGAAACGACACTCAATAACAGGTCAAAAATTTTCGTCTAAGTGTCTCAAAAATGGCAGCGACGTTTACGAAAGGGAAATTTGCCACGGTAAAATCCTTACAACAGACACTTACCATCAACCCTTTACTCAGCGATCTGTTCCTTTTCAAGGCGTTCAGGGTAGCAGAGATAAAACCTCTGGCCCAGGTTGTTCAAACATGGGATAGCGCTATCCACCGGATAAATCACTATGCAGCGTAAAAGTATCCGCTGGATAATGATTTCAGTCCGGTGAATAGCGCGATCCAACGTTTGAACAACCGGGGCCTGGTTCTTATGGAGATCTAAGATCTGGGGACTTCATCTTCTGTATTAACGACCCCCTCGCCAAACCTCCGACGCACCCCCCGACCCCACCCCTGCGATAAGCAAAAATCGACCCAGTCCCCAAATTATAACGTAGAAAGAGCCAAGTTAGGGGCATCTCACATTATATGAAGTCATACATGAGGTACAGATTATCAAGTTTGTTTTCATGATTTAACGACGAAATAATTTTCGTCAGTGATGAAGTACTTGAGAATTCGTAATATGAATTTTAAAAAAATCGAATTCTGGAAAAAGAGATAGGGTAAATTCCAAACTAAAGCCAGCTAAAGCACACAAAAATTAGAGGGGGGGGTGCTGGGAGGAGTGTCTCCCTCTCTTCCGTTTTGTTTCTTTGCTTGTATGTTTCGCTCCCCTCCCGGGAAAGGGGGATTTTAGACTTGCCCACAAGTCCCAGTGGTATACACGACTGTCGAATGAATTTACAAGTCCTAATGAATGTTGTTTACCATTTGCCCCGAACCTTGAATTGCCCGGTTTACCCATGTAAATAGTAAACAACCAACGTCGTTCCCAAAAGGCCATCGTTTTTTTAATCACTTAGTCAAAAACGTCGTTGAACTTCTGGCCCCTGATACGCCTGCTTTGTACAACAAGAAGAGCGATTGTAAGGGTTTTAAATTAGCTGTTCTTCATCGATCTTTCACTGATACATAACTATTTTAGTTGTTCTAACACAGGCAAATTACAGTAGAGAAGGAATTATCATGGCCAATTCGATGTTTAATATTATTTCTTTGCTGATGCTTATTTTTAATTAATAACAGCTCACGTACAGAACTCAGTATAAAGTGTTTGCTCTTACAACTCACTTAAAGTTTAGAAAATATTAAATAAAAATTGTCACTTGTAAGTTTTTCAATATTTGGCCGTGCCCCCAATGGCAGAGAAGGAAAATAATTTTTTGTTTGGTTTTTAAAATATAAAAGCTTAAATATTTGTGTCTACACCGAGCAGCGAGCTCATTAGCCTAATGGCGGATAAATGGCATTGTGTTCAAATGCGCCTAACAAAAATTATTTAACAAGAAAAACCTCGACTGTTCACTGTCCACATCTTAACCAAATCTAGCTTGATGATGACTATCACATCTACTTAACATCTACTTAAGAGGTGGGAGACGGTTTCCTTCCCCCTCTACTGGGTGCATTTGAAACCAATTACAAAATGGCTTCTAGTGACGGTGAGCGCTCAATCTCGACGATCTTACTTAAAGATAGATAAATGATGAACGCAAGTTTTTCGCTCAGCATTTAAGCAAAAACACGTGTAACTATACTTTTTTTTCCTTTTCGCTTGTTGATGGCATTGTGAATGTTTCTATTCGAAATTTGTTTGGATACTTGGTGTTTTGTATAGTGTTTTTTGAGTTATTTCTTAACTTTTTGCAGTGTTTTTGTTTTGTCCTTACTATTTAAAAGTGAAAAATTAGTAAAAGCTAAAGAATATGTAACTATACCGAATATTATTGTTGTGGAGGACTAAATTTTTTTAAACACTAGGCTTTGATATTGTCAACGGAGTTGAATAAGTTAACTTCCCACAATAAAAGGTTAACTCAAATTGACGAAGGAATATTGTTCAATACGTTATCTTTCCAACCTTTGACGGTGCTAAAATCAAGTCAGTGTCGTTGATAAAACACAATTTTATGTTTGGAAATCGGGCGATCCCGCACCTTTTTGAGAGATTCTTTTTGATTAGCTGGAAAACAATAGGGATTGTCACAAAACAATGCCCCTATCCCTGAAAACAATGGAATTGCAGATTAAACGGGACCAGTGAAATAAGGGGTTTAGAACGGTGCAGGTCCACTGTGAAATCACGCTACAGAAACTTGCTCGGTGATTGTAATCTGTGTCGATCTGTGATAACGATCGAAGACTACAATGAGGGACAAAAGTGTTGACACACTTCCGTAGAATGGCCCCTTTTTGCATAGTGGATATACTTATCCTCTTCCCCTGTCTACCCCAACCCTTTCTCCCCCAAAATCAATGTTGAATTTTGGACCCTCAAGTCTTTTTTTCACGTCAGACAACATTGATTCGGGGGGTGAGGGGATTTACGGCGTTTAAAAAGAATGAAATAATAGATGAATTAAATGTTTGTTAAAAGCACCCGTTTTAAACAAGTGTGTCAACTACTTTTGTCCCTGATTGTCTGAAATGTGTATCTGTGTTTTCCGGCTAGATTTTTGACGCTACTGAATTTTTGTGCGATGACGTTACTCTATGGGCCCAATTGTTTTTTTTAGAAACAACAATTTGCAAAGTTTCGTCCTGATTTGTAGTATATGTAGAGTAAAATGTACGAAGCGTATGTCATTACTTAATCTTGTACTCCCTCGCGCGTTCCTGATACCCTG